ATTAAAATTAAATTTTTAGTAAATTTTGATAAAAGTTAAACAGTTATGAATTCCATAAAATATGTTATTAAAATTAATTGTTAACTTTGATTTAGATTAAAATTTAGATTTCAATCGATACCAAACATGAGTTTAAAAAAAAATTCTCAAAAGTTGGGGGGCACGTGCCCCCCCCAATGACCCCGCCGGGTCCACCAGTGGCAGCTGACAACAGAAAAAGCTATTACCTGCATTCCTTCCATGCCGCTGATTCCAATTCCAATATCAGCTTCCTGGATCATGCCAACATCATTAGCACCATCACCGGTTGCCAAAATTGTCTTTCCAGAATGCTGTTTTGCCAATCGAGTAATCTAAACATTTTTCAATGAACAAAGCAGATTAATAAGTGGTTTTTTGTAAGAAAAATCAACAACTCCAATGAAACCAGAAGACTCAATCCTACCAAGGCTTTCTATTTGGGAGAAACACGGCAGCATATGACCACATCGCAGGTCATAGCCAAGGAGAAGAACTGGTGTTTCACATTGTGACTTAAACTTATCTCCAGAGCTTGGCCATCAACAACTAAAGCGAAAGGGGCGTCTTTTCTGTCTTCTTGAATAATCATTTGGTTATAACTTTCTACTTGTAGTAAAATTTCTTCTTTGACATCCTGAAAAACTAAAAATGAGGAAAACTTGATCCCATTTCAGCAGTTTCTTTAGTATTTCACTTTTTTGTGCAAAGAAATTTTCTGAAGCAAAACCATGCGGAGTTCATTAATTAGAACTGATGTTCACTTGATGTTTAGATTAAAACCACTTGATGTTTAGATTCCAATTTTGTGCTCAACTTCAAACGAAGCTGTTTCAAATCCTGCCGAAGTAAACTGCAAGCATATCTGCCATAACAAATAGAAACTGTCCAGATTAAAAGAAAACACGGATATCCTTGCTGTACTCTGTTAGAAATACCACACCACCAGCTGCCACCACATCATTCCAACTCAGCAAAGTGCCAACAAGAAATTGGATAATTCTAGAATGTGTGAGTTGGATTTCTATTAGAGATTTTCTGTTCAATTTGTTAGAGAATCAGATTTCATTTCATACAAATTCCTATAAATATGGATCTTCACATATTGTAAATGGAAGGCAAATAATTTAATCAATGCTTAACAGCACGTCTGCAGCCTTCCTCTCTGTTTTACCTCTTTTAATTCCCAGCTCAAACAAATCTGAAA